AAAAAAAAAATAAAATAAAAAAAATAAAAAAATATCAAGCTCTATAATAACGAAAGACATTTTATTCGGATATCTGTTGACACTTCTATTTAAACATTTTTATTCCCACTACTGATATAGTGTTCCGGATATGAGTAAGATAAAAAGGAAGTGAGGCGCGTGTTTGCAAAGCGTTTTTCCTGGTATTAAGTTCAATATGCGCTTGCAACCTGAATGGTTAAATGATGTATTATATTATATATATATACTATATGTAGGTATATACACATTTATATTTTTTGAAAGGGGCTATCTCATTGGAGGTACTATCCCAAACATGTTCTTGTAAAATATATATTTAATTAATTATTTTTATTATTATTATTATTATTATTATTATTATTGCTTATAAATTATCATATTGTACACACTCACATAGTATTGTATTTAATAAGACTGTTGATCGTTTAAATAAAAAGGCCATAGGAAGTTAAAAAAAAAAAAAATGTTAATTTTTATTAAAAAGTACATATTATTCACAATTTGTTTATTACAAGTATAGTGTAGGTATAAAATGGATTGTTACCTATATATGTTGAAAAATGTATATAGGTAGTTTAGTATTGTGTGCAGCATAGCTATAGAGTATAGATGATCTACGACGGTAATAAAATAATTTATATCAGCATGCTTAGTATATCGTATTAAAGAATGAATATACCTCAGGAAAGTTTCAGTTGGATTAATCACTTATAGGTAAAAGTTGTGCATTACTAATTTACAACTGATATCATTACCGTAATTATTAGTCTTTATATGCCACCGTTATACATTTCTGTATCGAAATTTTAGGATCAATAAAATATATTTGACGAGATTTTCTTATAAAATTTGCTTTAGGTGGCATGATGATTCCAAACTATACACTACCTCTTGTCCAAATTATAGATATTGGAATGATATATGATGGCTTATGTGGAAAAGAGGCAGAATCTACCCCTCTCACGAAGATCACATCCCTCGAATGCCATACACATATACCCTACGTATTCGTTGAAAAATCGCTCGCAGACCGGAACTACCGTTGTAGAGTGCAGGTTCATCTGCGTCATCAATATATTGTATACATATTGTTGCTTCARCGACGACGATGGAATACGCGCGCGCACGTTACTTTCTATTGCCGTCTGGCCAGCCGGGTCTGCTGGAGGGTCACTAGCCTCGTTCTTTGTTATAACCG